CATTCAGAAAGTTCTAAAAAAAGGCTTGAATTGAATTTTTTATTTTTTTCTTTTTTTTGCGTTACGCTTCCTTCCCTAATTTTCGTAAATTGAAATTTTCTCGATAAATGTATCACACTGTTTTAAATAAGTAATAATACGTATCACCACATCGTAATATCAAATTTATCATGAAAGAAGGAAAATAATATGAATACAGACAAAAAGACGAACAATTAAGAAACTCGATCGTCTCTTTTTTTAAGAAAAAGTGAAAAAAATTAGTAGCCAAAATATTGCAGTATTCGATTAATTTTGCAATTTTGTATAAACTGCATTTTATTTAGTCTCCGTTTTTTAAGAAACTTATTTACTTTCCTATCTGCATAAAATGCATTTCCAAAAAATCACTTTTACAAAAATTACCATCTCTCCTCTCACGTAGGCGCGTATAAACGTAGAATTTAACGGACGTTCTGAAAATGAAACTTGTATCGTAACAGGATCTTAACGGGAACGTGAATATCCAGTAAAATTTGCAACTACATTCTGAAATCTGTACATTAAACACCTAGAGTTCAGACCAGATCCCACTAGTGGAGTACATACGAAACGAATTGTCATCTATTTCTCGTATTATCGAGGGGGGAAAACAGAAATCGATATAGGAAAGACGAGTAAGTTTGGTTCGTTAAGGAGTTGAAAACCAGTCTTTGATGATTTCAAAGCGGCATTCTTGAAACAAACGCGACATACCTTGACTCCGGAAGTGTCGTTTGAAAATCTCGTAAACACGTCGTGATTACACGGTATTTCATGTACACGTACTGCTCTCTTGGTACGAGTTTGTATGCATATTTACGCGTTAATGCGCGTACCGCTCCAAGGAGGAGCGAAGAGCAAAGGAAACCGCTACGTGTAATTTGTACTTGTAATGTTAAGTGACGAGAGTCGGAGACGTGTAACGACATTTATGGTGATTTTCAACTGTACGCCCATTATTATTTTCTTTTTTCTTTCTGGAAGTAACAGTTGTGAGTAGGGATCGTAAGTTCATGGATTGTTGTTAAATCAGGAAGAAACGTAAATTTTACTGTTTCGGTATTTTTGTAATTTTATACGTTTTAACGGCGTTCGATGTGGACTTTAAGGTTATTAAATAGAGAAGCTGATTTATTGCGCGGGTATAGGTTGTTGTGTGTAAGCAAATAAGCGTTTGCTATTTGAAAGATTAATTTTATAGGAACTGAGTGTGAGGAAACTTGTGAACGCAAGGAAAATGGGGAGGAATAAGAATTCAGAGAAAAAGTAGAACTTGTCGGAATTCAGAAATTTATAGAAAAAGTAGCAAATCATATCAGAATTCAGAATTTATCGAAAAAATAGAACTTTGCAGAATTCAGAAATTCATCGAAAAAATAGAAGAATATTTTAGAATTCAGAAAATCATAAAAAATGTAGAACATTTCAGAATTCAGAAATCCATCGATAAAGTAGATTTCAGAATTCAGAATCTCATCGAAAAAGTAGAACAGTTCAGAATTCAGAAATTTATCGAAAAAGTAGAAGAATATTGGAGAATTCAGAAATTTATCCAAAAAGTAGAACATTTCAGAATTCAGAAATCATCAAAAATGTAGAACATTTCAGAATTCAGAAATCCATCGATAAAGTAGATTTCAGAATTTAGAATCTCATCGAAAAAGTAGAACAGTTCAGAATTCAGAAATCCATCGATAAAGTAGTTTTCAGAATTCAGAATCTCATCGAAAAAGTAGAAGAGCATTGCAGAATGCAAAAATTCAACGAAAAAGTAGAACATTTCAGAATTCAGAAATTTATCCAAAAGTATTATATAAGAACATTTTTATCCACTCTTTCAACCTTGTATTGCAACACAGTTTTCGAAATATAAAATACTCGAATAGATATTTAAACGATTCACTTATCTTATTTTACACTCAGTAGAAATTTTACATTGCAAGAAATACTTCGAAGTTGAAATATTGCAAGAATTACTACGAGTACAGGGAATTAAGTTGAATATTCTAGGAATTCTACTTTCTTTCATGGTGTACTGCAAATTCTTTGCGAAACAAGCTTCACGCATGAAAGATTGTCTTGGTGTGCGAGTAATTTAGATCCGTCTTCGTCTCATTAAGAGACATAAACCTACACTTCGACCCCGGATGAAATCATTGAATCCGTTAAGTATAGTGGTCGCCAGTCGTAATTACGGAAATTAGGCTCGCCAAGTAAACCCTCTGGATGATTGAAATGCTCGGACAAGTTAACACATATTCGATCAGTGTTCTCGTTATTACAATCATTTCATGAACTCGAAATTGGTGTGCAGTCAATTCCAAATCTATTTTCTTCTAATCTAATTCCAAAAATGAAAAAATAATACAAATTTTTTAAATTATTCATAATTTTGTATTTTTCAAATTTTATCATTGAAAAATACAAAATTCGTCAATTTTGTCAAAACTGACATTCGTCAAAATTCGTCAATTTTGTTTTTCCTCTATTTCTAATAATTTTCGAGATATTATCAGTCTCATTTTTGAAAACAATTGTCGATAAAAAAAAATACGTGTCAAATATTTTTTTGAGAACTACCATATACCAAAGTTTCATCAATTATCACTTCGAGATAGTCCCTTGTGAAATATTCCACTGTGTCCAGTTAAAAAAAACACCCTGTACAATTAAATTTTGAAAAAAAAAAAAAAAAAGAAGAGAAAAGAAAAAGTTACGTTAATTTGGCTCTGAGGTAAAAATACGGTATCAATGACGATAAGAGGTGCAATTTTCTTCATTTTGGGACGTTCCCTTGTTAAACACACTATTAAAGCAAGTTTTTTTAAATTTCCAACCATTTTAAAAATGTAACTGTACGTACTGTTTAGCTTTGAAATGCAAATAATTACTGCAACCATTTATAGCAAGTATGTAAATGTGTTCTGTACGAACTTTTCAAGCTTCATATTCTTTTCGTTCATTTGACTATCGATCTGTTATTAACATGTGTTACAAATCGAAGCAGAAATTGAATTCGATTATAAAGTGGACGGACATTCAATCGGATGACTAACCGTTGAACTTTTATCGGTATTACGGTGAGCAGCAGATAAATATAGCGACGGAGTTTTGTTGGCTTTTTACCGATAGATCTTTTAAGCTGAAAGTCACTAGTAGCGATCACCGGTGATTTGATAAGAAGCAGAATCGATATTGACCTCTTTTTTTCTTTACTACATGTAAGTACGTATTATCTTCTATTTATTTTTCCGTAATTTTCAACGACAAGTGTTTGATCTTTGTTTTAAAAAAAAATTGATTTAAGTTTGAGCACTGTGTTTTGATTTATTTTAATTTTCAACACTGAAATAATTTTGTATTAATCATTTGAATTGTAATTTGAGTAGTAATTTCGTAGTAAAACGTTTGATTTCTAGAATACACATCGAAGCAGTGGAAATTTCTTTTATTTTTCAGTGTTTTCAAAATTTTCAAGAGCATTTTATATTTTCATTGTTTTTTATTATTGGAAATTTAGATAAAAATTTAATTAAAAATGAGAAATTCAAATTACTGAAAATCTAATTTCGAGATTTTTCATTTTCCACTGTTTCCGCTGTCACTTTCTCGTCTGATCACTTCAAAAATAGTAAAATAATTCATTCATTCAATCTGTCATAGACGATATATTAGATGATTGCAAAAGTTCATGCCCGATTTGAAAATGAAACACAAGAGGTGTGTGCAAAGGCATATTTCATTTAAAAATAAAATGAAATGAAATGAATAAATATTTGAAAATAAAACATAAGCGGTGTATCTTTCGATAGGAATGTAACATAACGCTGAAACAAACATCTGTACTGAAGTGCGATAAGGTTCCCGCCATCTCTGAAAATCGGGTATGAACTTTTGCAATCATCCAATAATTATCCAAGATACCAAAGTATTCTCCCAGAGAGAAATTTGTAATTTTGCATTACTAAGCTATTTCTGCAGAACGATGATTAGCGACGATCCGGAAGTTTCGCAAAAGAACCTTGACTTAATTTCGATGTTTAATTTTCGTCAGGCTTCCAAACGAAATTCTTCAACATTTTTCATTTTCAACGTGAAGTAGAACGTGTCCCATTACACGTCACATCTTCGACGTTTCCATTGTGCGAAACGATTTATATTTTTCGCAAAGCATAAAAGTCTTGGCAGCTGGACGAAATGGTTCTCCTCTAATTTACCGCGGGACGAGTTAAATTCGTCACGAATTCGATTGACTTGACCGACACGTAAAATTTTAACGACCGCGAATTCGAAGAACCTGTTAATATTTTCCAACCGGAAAACTGCGTTCTCCTTCCGGTTATTTTGACAGAAATTTCGCAGTAAATCGTTATTTCCGATGAGAATATATTTTTGTAAAAACGAAGAGACAGTAGTTTCATATATTTTAGGTTTACTTTACTTTAACCCTTTCGTGACCGAATTATTTTTTAAAGGAATTTGTTATTTATTTATTGATAATTGTGTTTGTAATGGATACTAAATCGAGATTAATTTTTATTCCATAATTTTATTCGAAATCAATTTTCTTTTAAGT